TGGGTTGTTTTGGGTCTGGACTCAGGTTTTGGGTTGTTTTGGGTCTGGACTCAGGTTTTGGGTTGTTTTGGGTCTGGACTCAGGTTTTGGGTTGTTTTGGGTCTGGACTCAGGTTTTGGGTTGTTTTGGGTCTGGACTCAGGTTTTGGGTTGTTTTGGGTCTGGACTCAGGTTTTGGGTTGTTTTGGGTCTGGACTCAGGTTTTGGGTTGTTTTGGGTCTGGACTCAGGTTTTGGGTTGTTTTGGGTCTGGACTCAGGTTTTGGGTTGTTTTGGGTCTGGACTCAGGTTTTGGGGTGTTTTGGGTCTGGACTCAGGTCTGGGTTGTTTTGGGTCTGGACTCAGGTCTGGGTCCTGTCTGATGAACTCCTGGTCCAGCAGGAAGCTGCAGACAGAAGTGAAAGTGCTGCAGATGTGTCCGTTTGTCTCCATCAGCAGAACTGGACCTGCTGATCCTGGTGGTTTCAGTCAGACCCTCCTCTGTTGCAACTGTAGGGGGGGGGGCCTTGCATCCGGCCCCCGGGACTCCAGACCCGGACTCCTCCCTGAAGGGCCTCTTTCTGTCCAATCAGCAGAATTTCTCTGGTTCCTAACTTTGACACGTGTTCTGAGGACCTGATCCGGTCCAACAAGCACCCTGAACCAGATCCTGCAGAGTCTGGAAGGTCCTGGAGTTTAAAATGTTCAGTGTTTAGAACCTGGACCCGGTGCTGAAGGTCCAATCAGCTGAAGTCACGATGAGTCTGTGTGAGCAGAACTTCCTGAGGAGACAGACCTGAATCACCTGAACAAACCGGTCCGTTCCGGTTCCAGGTCCACCTGATGGTACAGGTCTTAGGTTCAAATATAAATTATTTACCTGTTGACAAAATACTTTTATAGTTCTGATCATGTGCAGGTCTGATGTGGTCTCTGGCCTGGTCCCTGATGTGGTCTCTGACCTGGTCTCTGGCCTGGTCCCTGATGAGGTCTCTGATGTGGTCTCTGACCTGGTCTCTTGCCTGGTCTTTGACCTGGTCTCTTGCCTGGTCTTTGACCTGGTCTCTGACTTGGTCTGTGACCTGGTGTCTGACCTGGTGTCTGGCCTGGTCTCTGGCCTGGTCTCTGGCCTGGTCTCTGATGAGGTCTCTGTTGTGGTCTCTGTTGTGGTCTCTAGCCTGGTCTCTGTTGTGGTCTCTGACCTGGTCTCTGTTGTGGTCTCTGGCCTGGTCTCTGTTGTGGTCTCTGACCTGGTCTCTGTTGTGGTCTCTGTGGTCTCTAGCCTGGTCTCTGTTGTGGTCTCTGACCTGGTCTCTGTTGTGGTCTCTGTTGTGGTCTCTATCCTGGTCTCTGTTGTGGTCTCTGGCCTGGTCTCTGTTGTGGTCTCTGACCTGGTCTCTGTTGTGGTCTCTGTTGTGGTCTCTAGCCTGGTCTCTGGCCTGATCTCTGACCTGGTCTCTGACCTGGTCTCTGTTGTGGTCTCTGGCCTGGTCTCTGGCCTGGTCTCTGGCCTGGTCTCTGACCTGGTCTCTGGCCTGGTCTCTGACCTGGTCTCTGACCTGGTCTCTGACCTGGTCTCTGGCCTGGTCTCTGACCTGGTCTCTGACCTGGTCTCTGACCTGGTCTCTGACCTGGTCTCTGGACTGGTCTCTGACCTGATCTCTGACCTGATCTCTGACCTGGTCTCTGACCTGGTCTCTGACCTGGTCTCTGACCTGGTCTCTGGCCTGGTCTCTGACCTGGTCTCTGGCCTGGTCTCTGGCCTGGTCTCTGACCTGGTCTCTGACCTGGTCTCTGGCCTGGTCTCTGACCTGGTCTCTGACCTGGTCTCTGACCTGGTCTCTGGACTGATCTCTGGCCTGGTCTCTGGCCTGGTCTCTTGCAGCTCCTGTCCCTGGTGGCCTTCGTCCTGGAGGAGACGGTCAGCACCTGTCTCAGGTGTTCTCCTCTCTACTTCTTTGAGTTTGTGAGCTGCACAGCCTTCCTCTTCACCTGCCTGCTCCTCATCCTCCTGACCACCAGGCTGCACCAGAGGGTCGGCATCAGCTGCTGGCCCAAAGTGGTAAGACCCTGCAGGACCTGGGTCACCGCACAGTTCTGGTCCTGGTCCTGGTTGAATAAATAAGTAGTATCTTGTGTCCTGCAGGACTTCATCTACACCTCCATCATCGCGCTCCTCTTCCTCATCTCCTCCATCGTCTTCGGAGCTGAGAACAGCAAAACCAGTGTGGAGATCGTAGCTGTGGTGAGGGACGCTTGTCCTCTGTCCTCTGTCCTCTGTCCTCTGACCTGTCCTCTGACCTCTGTCCTCCTGTCCTCTGACCTCTGTCCACTGTCCTCTGACCTGTCCTCTGTCCTCTGACCCTCTGTCCTCTGACCTGTCCTCTGACCTCTGTCCTCCTGTCCTCTGACCTCTGTCCTCCTGTCCTCTGACCTCTGTCCACTGTCCTCTGACCTGTCCTCTGTCCTCTGTCCTCCTGTCCTCTGACCTCTGACCTGTCCTCTGACCTCTGTCCTCCTGTCCTCTGACCTCTGTCCACTGTCCTCTGACCTGTCCTCTGTCCTCTGACCCTCTGTCCTCTGACCTGTCCTCTGACCTCTGTCCACTGTCCTCTGACCTGTCCTCTGTCCTCTGACCTGTCCTCCTTTCCTCCTGTCCCCTGTCCACCTGTCCTCTGACCTGTCCTCTGTCCTCTGACCTGTCCTCTGACCTCTGTCCACTGTCCTCTGACCCTCTGTCCTCCTGTCCTCTGACCTGTCCTCTGACCTCTGTCCACTGTCCTCTGACCCTCTGTCCTCCTGTCCTCTGACCTG